GGACATGACTACCACCATGAACTGCTTTTAGTTAGAAAGTTTTAATTCCAGACCATCTATTGTGGTTACTTTCTGTCTCTGAGTTTGTGAGGCCGCTACACAGGCCTCCCCTAAGCTTTTCATGTTTAATATGTGGCTCCTTTTTTTGTCCATGGCACTAGAGTTTTTATAAAGATGTCTGATTTTCCTTCTCAAAACATACAATCTTGCCCTGGCCAGTGTCGCTCAGTTGGTTGAGCATCATCCTATGCACATGCCCAGATTGTGGGTTCGGTCAGGCCAGGGTGTGTGTGTGAAACTCACATCAATGTTTTCCGTTCTCCCTCTCCCTTTTTTCCTCTCAATGACAGAAAACTTCCCCCACCTGGTGAAAGAAATAGACTTACAGGAAGTGCAGAGAGTCCCAAACAAGATGTACCCAAAGAGGCCCACACCAAGACACATCATAATTAAAATGCCTAAGGTTAAAGACAAAGAGAGAACCTTAAAAGCTACAAGAGAAAAGCAGTTATCTACAAGGGAGTGCCCATATGATATCAGCTGATTTTTCAATAGAAACTTTGCAGGCCAGAAGGGAGTGGTAAGAAATATTCAAAGTGATGAAAAGGGAGGGCCTACAACCAAGATTACTCTACCCAGCAAAGCTCTCATTTAGAATTGAAGGTCAGATAAAGACCCTAACAGACAAGAAAAAGCAAAAGGAGTTCACCACCACCAAACCAGTGTTACATGAAATGGTTTTTTGTGTGTGTTTTTTAAATATATTTTTATTGATTTCCCAGAGGAAAGGAGAGGGAGAGAGAAATAGAAATATCGATGATGAGAGAGAATCATTGATTGGCTGCATCTTGCATGCCCCCTACTGGGGATTGAGCCTGCAAACCTGTCATGTGCCCTTGACCAGAATGGAACCCAGGACCCTTCAGTTCACAGGCCGATGCTCTGTCCACTGAGCCAAACCGGCTAGGCCCATGAAATGTTAAAGGGTCTTCTTTAAGAAGAAGAAGAAAAAAGATTAAAAATATGAACAATAAAATGGCAATAAATACAATTGAATCTAAAAATTAAAATAAATGAACAAAATGAACTGATGAATAAAAGAGACCAGGTATGGAAACATAGAACAGATTGGTGAATCACAGAGGGAAGGACAGGGGTTGGAAGAGATTAACCAAAGGGAATAGATAGATAGATAGATAGATAGATAGATAGATAGATAGATACACACACACACTATCCAGGGACACTGACAATAGGCTGGTGAAGGCCTTGGGCGGGGTGGAATCTGGGTGGAGGAGAGCAATGAAAGGGGGAAAAGGGGACATCTGTAATACTCTCAACAATAAAGAATTAAAAATAAAAAAAAACAAAGTGTAAACCCCAAGGTAATACCATTTTTCCATTCTTCCACGTACATGATATACCCATTTACTTAAACACCAGTTGAGAACCAAAGTAGTATATTTCTTGGCCTTTGTACATATTGATCTTCTTTCCCCTTCCAGAGCAGCATTCATTACATTTCGTAAGTGCTTTGTATGGAATTTCAAAGTTCAGTGTGACCTCTCTACTGGGACATTATCAGGCACAGATGCCTGAAGGGCTTTTGGCAATCAGTGGCTTAGTATCCGTGATTTGGTTTAAGTCACCCCTCCAAGGACCATATGAAAGCAGTCTTACAGGATCCTAATCATATTCTTGGGAATTATTTTATTTTCCAACTTATTATAGTAGTTTAGAGGATTTTGTGTTTCACTAAACCAATTCCTCATTTCCTTCTTTTGTTAATCTTGGCCACTAACCTTCTACCTACTTTATTACTCATTTTTTAGGGACCTGACTATTCAGTAACACTAGAAAAATCACATCTGAAGCCAAGTTTATAAAAGGAAAAGGAAGAAATGTGTGTTCTCTGAACTTCCTTTGTTTATATAATCTGTTTATATGTTTAGGTTAGGTAGTCCAGCTGTCTCCCCATATTTCTAAAATAACTAGATATCTGGGAAACACCCAAAGAGGGTAGTGTTGTCCTAATGAATTAAAAGACCCTTAATCTGTCCACTTCTTTTGAGGTGTGGGAGTGACGCTGAGTATTGAGTTTCTTCAAAGGCCATCCTATATAATAAAGAGGTAATATGCAAATTGACCCTCACACCCTTGCATCACAAGATGGCCGGCAGGGGAGGGCAGTTGGGGGCGATTGGGCCAGCAGGGGAGCAGTTAGGTGTCAATCAGGCCAGCAAGGAAGTAGTTAGGGGGCAATCAGGCTGGCAGACAGAAGCATTAGGGGTGATCAGGCAGGCAGGCGAGTGGTTAGGAGCCAGCAGTCCCGGATTGTGAGAGGAGTCCCAGATTGTAGAGATGCAGGCTGGGCTGAGGGACACCTCCACCCACCGTGCACGAATTTCATGCACCTGGCCTCTAGTATATTTATAAGGAGACTTTTAGAAAGAAGCCAGTAAAATGAGTCCTTTTAAGGTTTGGGGGTATATATCTGACTATTTGAATGTTTGCTCTTGGTATACAGTTTGACTGTATGCCATCTAATTGATAGTTTTCTTTTGGTAAGATAAATATTGGTTTAAGGTTATATTAGTAGTCTTTAAAGCCTGGGCTCTAATCTGGCCTGTGAATAAAATTTAAGTACACTTGTGTCAGGATTATTCTAGAAAACATCTAGAATGGATTTTTGCAGGATTTGTTACAGCTACAGCCCCCTGTAAGCTCTCTATCTTGAGGAATTGAAAAGGACTAGCAAGCACATGAAAGAAACTCTTTACTGCGTTGCGGAAGAGAAGTTCCTCTCTATGCCTTCCATGCTTTACCCACTATAATGGGTAGAAGGTAAACAGAGATGCAGTTTTTTCACATTAAACTATTTATTGAACTTGGTCTGCTAAATAAATTTAGAAGTAAAAATGAGAAAATAAAAATAAGTAAATCATTCATTTGGAAGTAAATTTATTGAATAGTTAGAATAGGGTGTCATGTCATCTGCATTTTCTTATTTCCACCTCAATAGGATGAATTCTAGATCTATTTAGGCTGCTGTGCTTTCCTTTTGATTGCTAGTTCACGGGGTATCTTTGGCAGCAGCACCTGAAATAACTATGGAAGGAGCTCCCAAGTGAACTCCTAATTTGCATCTCAGTTCTCCCAGTTGATTGCAGCACTATTTCTTGCATGGTTTTCAGTTCCCCTTATGTGACTAATGTTTGGGGTCACTTTTGATTGTTTTGTTTGAATATCACTTTCATTATGAATGGAAGGCTGCTGCTTTTAGCAATGTGGAGTAAAGCTCTGGGTGGTAAGCACTGAAGGGAAAAAACACATTTTTGTAGTGTGTGGGAACCCTAATCAGAGTATGCCAGATGACCAAGGCCAATTTGCCATACGCATGCGTGCAGGCAAGGACACAACCGTATTATTAGGTGAAAGGCCCCTTTGCCCTACGCCTGTGGGAGGGCAATGACTCAGTAGTAGCAATATACGCACTGCACAAATGCACCCTTATGTAACCTGTTTATGTTAATGTAGCACTAGCGTCACTAAGGGGCATGAGGCCTCTTTTGTTTGAGTATATAACACTAATTGGCAGGAGTCTCTTTTGTTTGAGTATGTATAAGCTGCCACTAACCAGCCGGTGCTTACTTTTGTGGGGCTATTTTGAAGAACTCCTTTGTCTGATGGCTCCTTCTGTAGCAATGGCTACTTGGTCTACATTAAAGTTTCTCTTATATATACCTACACCTTCTCATGTCTCCACCTAATACCCAGCATCCAAGGAGCTGTGCTCCCACATATGCTAAATGAAATTACTCTCTTTGTCCCTATCCCTTATCCTCTCAGTCTGATAACCTCAAGTTTTAGTGATTTATTTGTTTTCTTCAAGTTAGCTTAGTTTCCTGTACCCAGATATATCTATTTTTGTTACTCATCATAGTGATGTAGAGTATATTTCTGACCTAGAAGTATGGTTTCTTTAACTGAACCACATCATTATGCCTTCTATCCTCCACTTCCTTGGCATTATTTCCTTTTAGCGGGCTCAGTTTGTCATCATTTAATCTAAGGATAATTTATTTGGGACTGAGAACTGGTAAAGCTGTAATAATAATAATACCTTTCTTTATATAATAACTAGAGGCCCGATGCACGAAATTCGTGCAAGAGTAGGCCTTCCTTCTCCAGGCTGCCAGCACCAGCTTCCCTCTGGCCACCGGCAGGCACCGGGACCTCAGCTTTCCTCGCAGCCTCCACTTCGTCCGGAAGAACGTCCGGTCTAATTAATATATTACGCTTTTATTATTATAGATACTCAAAGCACTTACCGTCTATTAGCCTTTCTCTGTTTAGGAAGCACTTTCAGTTTAATCCTTTACAATAATCCTGTGCATAGGTCAGTAATTTTGTCTAAGATAATGAGATGGTATCTCAAAGAGGTTGAATAACTTGCTCAGGGTTGCAGTACTGCTTAACAATTTCTACAGGAAATGAAGAATACTTTTAAAGATATTCTGAATAAATAAAAAAGGAATTTTCCATACTGTGTCTGGGTTGTAAAAAAATCTAACTATTTTAAGTCTGTTTAGTTGATTAAGACCAGGACTGAAAGCCCATTTTTTTAAACATATTTTTATATATTTCAGAAAGGAAGGGAGAGGGAGAGAGAGAAACATCAATGATGAGGGAGAATCATTGATCGGCTGCCTTCTGCATGCCCCCCACTGGGTATTGAGCCCATAAACCAGGCATGTGCCCTTGAGCAGAATTGAACCTGGGACCCTTCAGTCTGCAGGCTGAGGCTCTGTCCACTGAAAGCCCATTCTTTAACCATAGAGTTTAAATTGATGTGTCCGAGTCAAGAAGATAAATAATCAGGTCAGTTTCTATTCTGCTGCTGATGTGATAAAGTTAAGGAAGGCTAGCTCTTAAATTAGTGAAACTTGAACTGGAAGTAATTAAGCCATTAATTATTTTTTATTCTTTCTTTCTGTTAGAGAGATGGAAACTTTGATGACTAGTTCCACGCTGCCTTCCCTTTATGCAGAGGAAGATGGCTCCAAGGAGAATAGTGATCTGGCTACAACCCGGTAAGCAGCTGCATTGGGACACTGTGCCTCTGCCTAGGCTTCAAAACAAAGCTTCTGACAAAGTATAGGTGCTAAAGAGGCAGTTTATATCATAAGAATAGAAGGTAGGTTGTTGCACTTTGCAGAGAGAACTATTATAATCTGCATTCAACTGTCACTTGCAGTGCTCTGGCTCCTGTGAACAGTAATATGTGGGGTCTAGCAAACATCAGCAACTCACGGTTAAGAGAATTACATAGTCAGCTTTAAGGAAATATCTATCACAGGATTAGCTCTGAAAATGAAATGCATCTTCTGTTTGAATTGCCACAGATATCAAAACAGTTATCCCCGAGAGGTCTGATTTTTTTTTTTTTAAGATCATATTTTTTAAAATATGGTTATTTCTTCAAAGTACCTTGGAGCTGTAGCTGACTTCTTTTCTTTTTTATTCTCCTACTAGAGGCCTGGTGCACGAAAATTCGTGCACTTGAGGGGGGGGGGGGACAGTCCCTCAGCCCGGCCTGCACCCTCTCACAATCCAGGACCCCTCAGGTAGAGTCCCTAGGCCTTGCCTGAGATCAGGGGCTTTCTTTCCCCTGGCTGCAGGCAGCTGGCCCCACTCCTGCCGCTGCTACTGCTTGCCATCTGTGCAGCGCTGCCTCCCTCTCCCCTGCCACTGGTGACCTCCCTCTGCAGGCAACAGGCGTGCGGTGCGATGGCTTGACTGGCCTGGGCCTCCCTCTGCGGGGTGATTCCTGGCCGGACACACACCTGCCACAGAGTTGCCGCCAGTGGCCTGGGCCTCCCTCTTTCTTTGCTGGGGAACGGGGCCAGCCCTGTGAGGGGCCATCAGACTACCTGCTTGCCCCTATCCACTGGCCTGCCTACCTGATCGCCCCTAACCACTTGCCTGCCTACCTGATCACCCCTAAGTGCTAGTCTGCCTACCTGATCACCCCTAACCACTCTGCCAGCCTGCTTGATCACCCCTAACCGCTTGCTTGGGGGCGGGGCCAGCCTAGGGAGGGGTCTTGGTGGTTCTGGTCTCTGGTCATTCCAGTTGTTACACTTGTTATATAGGATATCATTAACTTTGCTATGTTCGCACAGGTAAGTAAAGGGATATAGAAAAGGGCTAGAGAACTATGGACTTAGGCAGCAGAGTGGTGATTACAGAAATGGAGGGGGATGGATGGAGGTGAAAGAGGGCATAGAGGGTGTTTAAGCATTAGCCAGTGACAGCGATGGGAGCTGTGAAAGAATTCACAACTAAGAGAAGAGATGCAGAGATGAAATTTATTTTACTTTCTAAGGGAGGAAAGGGTCAGTGTATTGCTAGTCAATACAGGGCAGGGAACAAAGAGGGGCTTCTGCTTTTAAAGAGCAAGCAATTGCAGTTGCTAAGCGACAAGGAAGGAAGGCGGATTTTGTTGAAGGTGAGCAGATACCAGGGGGTTGTCTTGAAAAGTTAGTTTGTTTGCTTTCCAGGAGACAGTCCAGCAGATGTCCTAAGGAGGTGTCTTATCAGTATTTTTCCCAATAAAACAAGCTCAGAGCAAAAGTTATGAAGAGTTCAAAAGAGGCTTGTTTGAATTTTCTACTAAGTAGAGACTCCTTGGTGAGAACTACCCCTGAGAAGTTAGAACAGCAGGGAGGAGAGGGATGCCAGAATGTATCTTGAGAGTAGGTTATCTTGTCCCACAGTTTGAACAGAGGAGCTGTTTGAATCAGAGGAGCCAACAGTCTTAGGGTTTAATTACCAGGTGCTTCTCATAAATTGTGAAAGGCCTCTGAGAATAGGGAAAGAAAGCTAGGAGATACTTAAGATGTAGAATGGAGAGAACTTAATGGGTTTCAAAGGTGATGGAAAATTTTTAATATTTTTTTTAAAGGGCTATACTTGAAACCCATAAAAATCTGTTACACTTTAACTTTTATGTTTTCTATTTAGAAATTATTTGCCAAAGAAGAAATATATTCACTAATAGATTGAAGTGCTAGCTAATCCCCAAAATGAATTATTTTAATATTAGCTAGAGCTCTTTAAAATAGAGTACACTTTGTAATTCTGTTTCCTTTCTTAAAATTTATTTTCTACCTCATTAATATCTGCCTCTCACTTTACTATATTCAGTCTTGTTCTCCAAGACTTTGCTAAAGTCTGCCTATTGCTACATCCAATTCATTCAATAAAAACTTTTCTGGGTGTCTACTATGTACATACACTGTTCTAGGTACCATATATTACTAGTAAGCAATGATCAAAACAGACATAAATCCCAGCCCCTGTAGAGCTCAAATCCTACCAGGGAAGTCAGACAAAGAAAACAGGATAAATAAGTAAAATACATACTGTGTTGATAAGAACTATAAATTAAAATAACTATAGATTAAAGATAATAACTATGGATTAAAAGAACTATAGGTCAGTTTTAGATAGGATGGCCCAGAAAGACTTTAATGAGAAAATGACTTTAATAAAGGCCTGAAGAAAGGAAGGTAACTAGCCTGCAGTTATTCTAGGTAGAGGGAGGAATGAATACCAAAGGTAGATGTGTTTCTGCCTTTTAGAAATAGCCAAGAGGCCAGTGTGGCTGGAGCAAAGTATGTGAGGGAAAGAGGAGTAATTGAGGACTACTTCACTGCTTCTCAGACTGTAATGTACATATGCATTGCCTACAGAGTTTATTAAAATGTAGGTTCTGGAGTCAGTATGGGAGAT